AAGGCAGACGCTTAACGACTGAGCCACCCAGGCGCTGCATATCTTGACTCTTCTTTTTCTTGTCCTCGTCTGTAAAATGGGCATACCCATAGTACCCTGCCCACACAGTCATTGTGAGCGCGAGGACAGTGAGTGTGTGTCATGCGCTTAGCAGATGACCAGCTCTCGATCTGGGAGAAGCATCAAGCACCCATCCCATTACCGTTTGTTGTTATTTCAATACAAAATACAAGCCAAATAGCTGGAGGATGGTGCAGGGAAGTAAGATTCTTTATTTTTTTCTCTGGGGATTATTAGGTTTGCATCCTCACTGAGCTCAGTAGCCTCGAGGTGGAGGGATATAAGCACGTAGTTAATTAAAGAGCCCGGGCTCCAGCAGCAGGCCAGCCCCACTGGAGCCCTCAGAACTCACGCTACTCTTGGCTGGCTGGTGGCGGGCGGGGCTGAGGCCTGCTCAGGCTCCTTGCTAAGGGGCTCAGGGGAGGAGAGCTTGTTGGGACCAGAGGTGGCTCTGGAGGTGGCATCTCGCTCCCTGTCTCTGCCTTCTTCGTCTCTCTTGTCTCTTTGACTTGGCCTCTGTCACCTTGTGGCATGCCCACGACCTCAGTGTGTGTAGGGGTGAATGAGTGAATGAATGAATGAATCTGATTGGCTCACTCATGTTCCTGTGCCAGGACGAGAGCCCAGTAGCGATCGGCTGCCCTGGGTCCAGTAGCTGTGTTGGGGCAGCAGGATGTGCAGGTGACCCGCAGGCCTGCCACCTGCCAGACTGTCTGTCAGGGGCTGGGGCGGGGGGAGGGGGCAGAGGAGGGAAGGGACTCAGAGGACAGAGGCGTGGGAGGGGAGATTTTAGCTCCCAGACCAGCTCAGGTCCTACCTCCCCCTGGAAGCTTCTGTGGAGCCCCTTGTTGGGGTAGGGCCTTCTCTGGCCCCCAGCTTCTCTGTTGCCCCATCAAAGCTGTCTGGCCAAGTCTGTCTCTGCCATCAGTCTGGAGTCTCTTGGCCTGGGATCAGGCCTGGTTCATCCCTGTGGCCCCAGCATTGAGCTCAGGGCAGGCCCACAGCGGGTGGGCAGAATGTGCTGGGCTGAATGAATGAATGAATGAATGAAAGGATGCTTGGATGCAGAAGGAAGAGGAAGAGTCCCAGTGCCTTCTTGCTGGTTGCCATTGGACTCAGGGAATCTTCCTGTTCTCCCTGGTCACACCTCGCTCGGACCTGCTGGGGGTCTAACTCGGCTTGAACACCCCCCCTCAAGGGCCAAGCGGGCTCCCGGCACCGGGATGCCATGCAGAGAGGCTGGCTTGGCGCCTCCGACTGTGGTGGATAGAGCGTTCTAATGCTCCCTGCACATTAGCATGCTGAACCCACGTCTCTCGTAAGGTGTTAATTAAATTTCTTCGAAGTATATTGTCTGAAAAAAAAAAAAGGATAATTAGAAAGATGTCTTTAAAAGTATTTATGTAACTGATACGGTACCGCTTTTGGTTTGCCGCATAATTAGATTTAAACACAACTCCTCGAGCCGCATACTCATTTGGAGATAGCTGCTCGTTGAAATGTCATTGTGTTGTTTTTAAGAGTTTTGAGCCTGGCAAAATCATTCAGCTGAGGAGGTTGAACGTGGCAGGGGGAGGACTGAACTGGGAGCACGGAGCACTGAACTGGGAGCACAGTCTCCCTTTATTCCCTGGGACGCCAGAGGCCACTCTCTCAGTGCCGTTGTCTGCGGAACCAGAGGGCTATGGCGGGCTTCCCGGAACAAGAAGTTACATTCCTGCAGCTCTTTTAATTTTCTGGTAATTTTTGTTTAGTGAGGTAGCTCCATTTTACAGGCAAGCAAAGCAAGGCCAAGTTGAAGGTCATACATTAGTGATAAGGGGCAGAGCTGGGGTTTGAAGCCTGGTCTTCTGATTCCAGGACCCTTTTCCTACACACCCATGGGAAGCCCTTGTTTTTGTTTTGTTTTTAGAGATTTTATTTATTTATTTGAGAGAGAGAGAGGGAGAGCATGAACTGGGGGCGGGCAGAGGGGGAGGGACAAGCAGACTCCCCACTGAGGCTCGATCCCAGGACCCTGAGATCACAACCCGAGCTGAAGTCAGATGCTGAACCTCCTGAGCCACCCAGGCGCCCCTGGAAAGCCCTTGTTTTAAAAATGATGGGACCATCTCAGAGTTTAGAAAAACTGCCTTGGTTTCACGTGCCCCCGTGAAGTCCCCGCTTTCCCACGCGGCTCTCCCTGGGTGCTGTGCGTGCTCCGAGGGGCGCTGCGGGGGGACAGCTCTTTCACTAGGACCAGAGACTATAGCCCTTGCCTTGTTGACGGGGCTGACGGCGTGCCCGAGGGGGTGAATGAGACTGGTTTTTAGGGGGTGAAAAAAAAGCTTATCCTTATTATAAAGCCTAGATATACATACAGTGCATGAATACATATACAGCTACCTATGGTGTTAAAATCTCATGGGAGGGGAGCGAGTAGGGAAAAAACATCTAAAGAGGCCCCGCAGCGGTGATGGGAGACAGGGTCAGCAATAGCCAAACAGTGGGCTAGCTGTCACAATCACACAGTGCCCACTGGTGCTCCCCACTCGTTACCTCCTTGGACCCTCTGAGGGCCTCGTGTTATAGAAGGGACACTGAGGCCCGGGGGACCACACATTTTTGCCCGGCTGGCGAGCGGAAGAGTCAGGACTCGGACCTCCGATGTCCCATTGGGAAGGCTGGGCGCACCGTCTGTGTTCGGGGTGGACGTGGTCCAGGCGGACGGGGCTGTGAGGTGTGGCTTCAGCCACGGGCTGGACACGGGTCACCTGCCGTGTCTTCTCTCCCTGCAGGGTGGACCCCGTGCCTCACGATGCCCCCAAGCCGCCCGGCTACACCCGCTTCGTCTGTGTGTCTGACACCCACTCGAGGACAGACCCCATCCAGATGCCCTACGGCGACGTGCTGATCCACGCCGGGGACTTCACAGAGCTGGGGCTCCCCAGCGAGGTCAAGAAGTTCAACGAGTGGCTTGGTAGGTGCTGGGCAGGAGGTGGCCTTGCTCTGCTCCCTGGGGAAGCCCTCCCTGACCTCCCACTCTGTCACACCTCGACGTCTCCTACCCCAGCACCTGTCTCAGCTGTGACTTGTTTGTGCGATTCTTTTGGCCTGGGAGATGCCCTCCTGAAGGGATTTTGCTCAGGTCTGTTTATGTCCACTGGCGTGTCCAGCCCCCCGATGCCTGGTACAGGTAGGTGTTCAACAAATAATTGGTGAGTGAATGAATGAATGAATGAATGGGCGAATGAATGAATGCCTCTCTGGGAATGGCGATGTCGGGGCAGGCACCACCCACTGCCCTTGTGACGGCTTCCCCAGTGAGGGGACCCGCCAGCAAGAGGACACGAGTAGGCCCCTCCTGGGGGCAGCTGAGCGCTGTGGGCAATGGTGGGCGATGATTTACAAGCATACCCCCAGGGATTTGTCTTCAGCTTTTTGCTTTCTTCCCAAACAAAAACGACATAAATATGGAGTGCCCCTGGGAAAAGCTGCTTGCTTGGAATCCAGAGAAACCTCCGAGGGTGTTGTCGCTGCCGTGGCCTGGGGGACAGATGGAGGGCCCCTGGGTGGCCTCGCTACGAGCTTCCGGTCTTAGAGGTGTGGGTGCAGGGCCAACCCACCTCAGGGCCCAGCCCCGCTCCCTGGGCTGCCAGCCGGTCCCACCCCCAGGGCCCTCCTGCTGCACAGTTGGCTGGGAGCTCCGTGAGCAGAGGGCCAGGAGCGGCGCGGGGAGGCTGCAGTGAGCGAGGGGCCCGGCTCCACCAGTAGAGACAAATATTTACAAGCAGGGCCTTCCCCTCTGCTTGGCAGGCTTGGAGCTTTAAATATTGATTTTTTGAACGGGAAATTCTGATCAAGTGCCCTGCTTGGGCTGGATCGTGTGAAGGACGGGGTGGGAGAGAGCTCCTGCAGGGTGGGTCGGCCGCAGGCTTCTACCCGGCCCCGTGCTGCCTCCTGGCCCCGGCCGCCCCCTAGGAGGGGGTCCTCGCTGGCTTCTCGTCCCCCTGGCTGTGGGTCTCCAAAGATGTGAGGCTGCACTTGGCTGAGCCAAGAGCCTATGTCTGAGGCAGATGCCAGGCTCCCACTGTGGGCCAGACAGTGTGTCCCTTTATTGTTTATGTTCACTTGCGTGAATGAATGAATGAATGAGTGACTCTCTGGGAATGGCGATGCGGGGGGCAGGCTGTGTGTACCGTCATACGTGACTTTTGGGAACTAGGTGAATTTAGGGACAGGTGCTGTTTTTGTCCCAATTACGAAGTAGAGGATGTCAGCCCGAGGTTCTCACCCTGAGGTTCTCTGGGGGGGGACTGTTTCCGACGAGCCCCCGGCTCACGAAGAGGTCCCATCCCCGTGGAGTGGATGAATGAACCAAACAGGTTTTCCCTGCTGTTGGTGCAGGGAAAGGGGGCTGTTTCAGGCCGAGGGGACAGCGGAGGCTGGGCGTGCAGGTGGACACTTGAGAGGAGCCGCTGTTTGCTGTGGCCGGCGAGGGGCTTTGGGGCATTGAGGGTCCTTGAAGAGAGGGCTGTTCTGACCACAGCTCTGAACCTCAGGATCACTGGGGGTGCAGGGGGCCAGCACGGTGAGGTGGGCATTTTAGAGACACCGTTCTACCTGCCTCTTCACAGAAGTCAGAACAACCATGGGAATTTGGGGGTCTTCATAATTTGCACTTGGAGCCGCATTGATTTATTTGCCTGGGCTGTTGCTAGGGGTGGGGAGTGTGAGCTTACAAAGGGGTCTCCCTTTTAGAAAAGGTTCCTTTCCCCCAGGCTTCTCCCCTTGGCTGCTTTGAAGTGTTTGTAGACGTCATTCAAGTAGGGTGGGCTGGGGTCGGGGGGCTTTAAACCCAAGAATGAGGAGTCCCTCTCGTACTTGACTGAGTGGCAAGGAATTCGCACGTGAGTGAACATTTAAATAGGAGCAGCTTCTAGAAGTCCATTTGCAGCTGGCTTTTTGGGAACATGCTTGTTGTACGAAAGTAAGACTCATCCTCCTCGGGCTGGCAGTTCAGGTCCCCGGGGATGTGGTGGTCATGGCTGAGAGGTGGGCGGTGCGCTCATTAGGTCCGTGTAGGTGCATCCATCTGGACACATGTGCATCTTTAGACAGCTAGTGTTTAATGAGCGATAGTATGTGCCAGACACTCTTCTATGCCCTTTGTGTGTGTGATCAAATCATTAATCCTCCTGACAACAGAATGAGGGGGGAGCTGTTGTCATCCCCATTTTGCAGAGGAGAAAACTGAGGCCCAGCGAAGTGAAGTGACTCACCCAAGGCCACACAAATAGTAAGGGGCGGAGCTAGGATCCCAAGGCAGGCAGTTGGACTCCAGAGCCGAGCTCATGCTGACCCATATCTCCTTTCTTGGTCTTCTTACGGTGAAATCTCTCTGATTCAGTGTAACTGGACTTTGCCAGTTGGGGCCGGATGTCCTGGGTCTGCTTCCTGTCCTGCTAATTACAGAGGCCACGTGACCTCTCTGAGCTTCAGTGGCCTCATTTTTGAGGCAGGTGGTCAGACTCCCTTTGCCCTGCCTCCCTCTTTGGAGGTGGATTTTTTCCAGGCTCCATTAGGATGGAGGAATTGACTGAGTTTTATAAACTGTGAAGTGCTGTGTACCTCGTACCATTGCCCCCATGAGCTGGCGTTTGCCAGATCAGGCCTCCCCTTGGGGTAGAGGTAGGGGTCATGGGTGGGTCCCGCAGGAGGGGGGGCATCTGATCATGAGGTCATGAGGCTGAGCAGCAGGGAGAAGGGGTAGAATAGTTTGTGTGCAAAAGTGTGTGGAGTTTCTGAGAAATGTTGATGTATGATCTTAGCTATGTTGGCAGTTTACACACACACACACACACGCACACACACACACACCCCCGGAGAAAAGACCGGAAGGAAGTACTCATTCACCCATTCAGTCTATCTCACTGAGAACCCACCACGTGCCACGTGTGTCTCAGGCACTGGGGTGACAGTGGGGTGGGAGGAACAGGGCATGCTCGCATTCTGGTGATGGGGACGTGGTGCATCCTGGGAGGCGGGCTCGTGTTCACGTAGGCCTGTGGGCCAGGGACCAGAGTTTGGGGTTGATTCTAAGTGCAATGGGGATTTTGGGGAGGTTCATTAGGGGAGTGACCTTTAAAAAGGTGTTCAAAGGCCTGGATTTAAGAGTTAGATTGGAAGCAAGGAGGCCAGTGAGGGCAGTCTCTGGAATGTTCCAGAACCGAATGTCTGAGTGGGAGGATCATGGGGGATTTTCTTCTTTATGGTTTTCTCTCTCCTCCACCTCGATTTTCTGTAGGGAGCATGTGTTATTCTGGTGGCATCATATAAAGGGAA